TGATGAGTCTGAAGAAAACCTGATTCGCTTTTGTTGACAAACAGGACCAATGGTCTATGGATGCTTGTACTGCCCCATTTCCTACCAGACCACTCTTGCTTCTCTCCATTTTGCAGGTAATATATCGTTAGGCTTTCTACTAGTGGCCAGTTAATGAGACTGGTGTCACGACTTGCATTGAAATAGTCTTATAGCCAAAACCCATTCACAAGTTTCCAACTTTATATTTAGAGGGAGATGTGTCTTATACATTTTGTGTTTCTATACCCTTCGCTTGGTAGTATAAGCATCATACTAAGTGAAGCATGACACTTTTGGTCACATTTATAATCTCTTGCCACTTATTGTTCCTCTCAAGCCTTTTGCCACTATGCCTGCAGATTCGAAGACTCTGAAAGAGGAGAAAAGAGAAGAATTATATGAAAGTTTAAAGCTTGACAAGTCAATTGGATGGGCTGTTGATGTCATTGGTCCCAGGGAACTATCAGCCAAGATGCTCGCAAAGTTAGTAAGAGTATAATGTTTCCGAAGCTGACAGATTGAAAGGCTCAAATGGTTCTTTCTTATATCATAGCTTTGGTTTGTTTTCTACAGAAACAAGACTAATTTAAATGAGATTTCACATAACTCTGCAATGGGGCTTATCAAGAGAGTACTAGACATGGGAGTTCTTCTGACAGAGGTGATTAGCTTTTGTTTTAAACAGATGCATCATCTTTTGGGAGATAAGGTTATTTGTCATATGTAAGATTTAGATCGCTAACTTTTCTTTGCAGGTTTATCTGGATACTGTAGGAGATCCTGAGAAGTACAGAAAAAAATTGTCTGAGAGGTTTTCTTCGATCAAGTTTGTCGTTTCAAAGAAAGCTGACAGTCTTTTTCCTGTTGTCAGTGGGGCTAGTATTGTGGCTAAGGTAATCTTTTATGGATTCTTGCTATCTATATCAAAGTTTTCACTAGCTAAACGTCACTAAAGATATATTACCTGCTCAGGTGACAAGAGACAGAGCGTTGAGAGAATGGTTGGTAGAGGAAACCGGAGAAAATATAAACAGAAACTTTGGTTCTGGATATCCTGGAGGTACTAATCTTTTACTCAAATCATTTATGTTTTTAGAAACTTTTACGCGCTAATATGCTTGTAATGCAATTTAGATCCTGAGACCAAGGCATGGTTAGAGCAACATAAGCATTCTGTGTTTGGATTCCCATCACTGGTCCGTTTCAGTTGGGGAACTTGCACTGCACATTTGAAGGGCGAAGTTGAAGTTGCATGGTTCGTTTTTTTCTTCTTCTTGTTGCTACTAGGCTCTATTTATCGCTAAATTCAGCTATGATCAAGCCTTTCTTTGAGTTTTGAATCCTTCATTTATCTCAATCTGTGGCAAAAATCTCCTGTTGAATTTGCTTTTTGGTGCACTTGGACAGGGAATCAGATGAAACGGAAGAGGGTGGTAATGGAAATAGCAGTAAGCGACAAGCAAAACTAAGCAGATTTGGGTTCACAACATGCGAGAGTAGGAGCGAAGAAATGGAATCGAGTGGAAAAGGACGCTGCAAATTTTTCCAGGCTCGCAAAATCCAACAAGTCACTCAGTTTTAGTCTCTGAATCCAACTTCTAAGAGATGTCTTGCTTATATTGCAAAATTTTCTTGTTTTGATCACATGGTGATTGTTGTTTCGTTTGTTTATTACTTAACTAGCTATTGTCCCACATGATCCATGATTAAATATTATATTTTCTAACAGATAAATTGTGACAAAAAAAAGTAAATATATATTAGACTAATGTCATTTTTTTTATTTTT